TGTTGTGCTGGGTGTCTAATCAACAGGTCGTGGGTTCTAGCCTAGGGCACCACAACAGCTGCCATTAGGTATGGGTGATTTCTATCACCGGGCTCCCTTGTCTTCGTCATAATATCCACAAGCCGTTCGGCGACTCCCTGCGACGGCTTTTCTGTGAGCTCCAGGGCACAACGGGACATACATGTTCGGTAACCACATCGGTGAGCCCCCACACTATCAGCATATTTCCGATTGCAACCGAAAAAAGAACAACGAACTCGTGGCCCAATGGTTAGATCGTTAGACTTCTGATCAAAAGGGCGCAGGTTCGAGCCTCGGGTACGGAACCACTTGGGGTTAGGTATGACTGGCTGATGACGGCTAATAAGCCAGAAATGACCATTTCAATCACCCTTGCCTTTCCCGGCAGTGCTATATACTTAGACTACTGGCAGCTGTGCGGCTGCTGTCTGGTTTCGAGAATGAGCCCCAAGGCAGGGCGAGACGAGTGAGTTCCGTTAGTGATCGGTGAACGTTCATCAACGAATGTAAATACAAAGTCTGCCCTCAACCAATACAGTGATAGGTCTATCGTCGCAAAGCTATGACTTATACCGTGTGTCCCATGGAATGAACACTGTGTCAGCGACATGTGCGTAAATTGATTACCAGTGACGCAGACTGGCGCAGCATGTACAGGACTCCCTTTCCTCACATCTATCTTTATCTGATAACAAGACACTGTCAAGACGACCGGACGTGGGCTGGGGCATATTTCAGTCCAGTTTTATTAAGAGAAAGATGGGCGAACGCCCTTGAGATCCCTATTGGTAACAAAGTGTCTGGGAAATGTAAGGACACAGAATAAAAATATAAAAAAAGAGGTAATTTACATAGTTCCAGACGAAAAGCGGGCAGCCGTCGATTAATCGAAGAGAGTAAACACATAAGACCGTGCACTTATTACGAGTATTCTAATGACATGTAATTGGCCTGTATCATATATTAGCGTGTAGCTGGTGAATGAGAAGTGACTCATCAAGTTAAGCAATCCACCTATACAAACAGGAGCTAGTCCCTACTACATGTATCAAGCGACTGTAAGGGGCAGCTAGGATCTCACATCAGCCAGAGCCAAAAAGGACACATGCGAAAAGTGCCCTTACGGTCTGACTCTCAGTCCTCCAGCCAGTCACCCCATACACACAGTAACGAGCATGAGGATAGAGCTATCCTGACGGCCTTTGAAGCCCAGTTTAGCGTGTCGTGATGCACCCAAACTTGTCATGTGGGAAATACGTTGGCGTGTCGTGAGAGGAGGATTTTCCAGAACTTGGGCGTACTGTAAAAACGGTCAACGCGAACTCTCGAACCTTATCTAACAGAATAAACGGATGACTACAAACATACTGCGCCTTTGATTTCAATAGATCGTTTGTTTACATCAAATTTGACTAAAGTGAAAATTTTATACTGCAACTGCACTGAGCCCATTGTACGATGTTATTTCGCAAATGCCCACTTTTGTTACCATATATACTTCATTATCATCATGCACACTAATACGCCATGCAACAATTTTTGCAATTTAGCATACTTGTACAGTTTCAATGGAGATTTTAAGGACTTCCGTCATTTACTGCAAATATACTGGCTGATTACAAGAAAAACTAGAATCGGGAAAAAAGCCTACCTTTCATGGTTTTATCTTAACATAAATAGACATAGAACTGATATAAAGTTGACAATTTCATCCAGTTGGCCACGACTGGGCCTTTCTGTTTCTTATTGATCGTAT